AGGGGTATATTCATGTATTCGTGTTCTACCCGACGGATTTCTTTTGAAAGCAATTGTTTTTACGGGGTAGAATGTGAATGTCTAAATAGTAAAACTCTGCATATGTATCTTCGTATCTTGGGTTATAAGGCTCGATAGATGCTGCCTTTTAAACGGTTTTGATGTAGTGTGCTCGTTCATCATGAGTCAGGCTTGAATTGAAATCTTTCCTCACTCTGTTGTCTCTGACAAACCTACCACCATTGCACTTGCATCGTCGTCCATTCCTTTTGACCATCTAACAGTTGTGATACTTTTGTTGTCAAATTCTAAAAGGAGAAGCAATCGTATGACTGATTCTATCACTCTAGAAAGTCCTTAAGGTCAATTCCCTGTGGTAACTCGGAAAGGCGCAAAAACACCCGCGAAAAAGTGTATAAAGTCTCTACGAATTGCCTACTGAAATTCCTTTAAGAATTTGTAGAAATTCAAAATATTAACAAGTCCAGAAAAACTTCTAAACTCAATTGCTTTTTTTTTCTCGAGGGGCTTCGGTGGAGCAGTCTTCGCGGGTTCGACTCTCGTTGCTCACTCTTGTGAAAACAATTTATGGTGGGCCCTTAAATATTCACCGGTTCCCAATTAAAAGCGGAACTACTAAAACTATTGAATTCAGGGGCGTAGGAAGCTTCGAAAAGTTGGGGGGCAGGCTTTGAGGGGCACTTTTCGAAAAAAAAGGGTATCTAAAAATTATTTTTGGCGACCTCTACTCCCCCCCCCCGTCGCCAAAAAATTTTCGGTCAGTGTACCATTTTAGGGGTCAAAAATCTTCCGGATATACAACATTTTTTTTCTAAATACGAGGAAAATTTTTCCGGAATACCAAAAAATTTTCCGGATATATCATATTTTTCAACCTCGTACCCATGGTATTTGCTCTTGGGGAGCGAAATACTCTGGTATGGCCTGGTCACGTGACCCGCGGATTTTGCGTATTGTTTACTAGGGTCGGCGGGAGTGAGTATACATTGTCACTCCTAGTAATTATATCACGCTTTAAAATTTTAATGTACAACCTCATACCCAGGGTATTTTCTCTTAAACAATACGGCATTTTACGAAAAATCCGCGGGTTACGTGACCAGGCCATACCAGGGTATTTCGCTCCCCAAGAGCAAATACCCTGGGTACGAGGTTGCATATTTTTTCCGGAAAATAAAACATTTTTCCGGAAATAACATAGATTGAAGTTGTCAAGAGTGCCTCTTGGGCAAAAAATGCAATTTTAATGAAAAATTTTCACGAAAAAAAGGGCACTTTGCTCCCGGAAAAAGGGCACATGCCAGAACTTGGGGGCCTTCCCCCCTGCCCCTCCCCCCGGTGTTCCTACGTCTCTGATTATCGATTTATAATTATAAAAAAGAATACACATAACAATGTAATTTGCTACTTCGCTGCTCAAATAGGCTTTCGTTTTTGGGAGACACATGGCGCACTTTACCGAACATTACAATGTCATCTGCAAAACCATTTATTTCAAAACTTTATAGAAAATAAAACTTCTATTACTCCAGAGAAAATTTTTGGCAAAATTTCTCCATGTTTATAAACAAGCTTTTGGAATTAGGATTGTTTTGAAGTATTTTGTTCTAGGATTAAGCTAACCAGCTTTGAACAACCGGCCCTAGAGGAGTCAAATCCGAGTTCTTCAAGTCCTTATCCCATAACTGTGTTAAAGCGGCTTTCTGATTGGTTTAGAGCAGGTGAGCTTTTCTGGAGATCACCTGCCTTTCGTCGACGTCACCTGCCTTTCGCCGAGCTCAACTTTTTTTTCGCCGAACTCACCTGCGAAACTGGTTACGTTGCAATAACAATAACAATGGTGGACAATATTTAGGCAATAAACCTAAACTTTAAAGAACCTTTTTTCGGTGACTAACCTACTGAGACAGAAGAAAAACCAAAGAAAAAATATGCGAAAAAGGTAATCTGGACGTACATAAAAAGTATTAAGAGCCCAGTAATTTTTGTGGCAAAGAAAATTTTTCGCTCGGTAAGTTCGGGAAACTTCCAGCCACCCTCGGTGAGTCCAATCCCGGGCTCACCTCCCTGCAAGTATGTTGGTTATAAAGCCATATACCCTCGAGTCCGGTCGCGAGATCGATTTTGATTCCGTGTTTGAACTCGAGTTCTCCAAATCTTTTAAATAAATGTAACATTTTTCTGGGAGTTTGTTTTGCACAATATATTTTTCGCAGTTCAAGACTATGCTCGAATTTCTATGATATTTGCATGCTTAACCTCCTCACTCCGCCCTCAAAGTCTAATGGTCCGTCCCCCTACAAGTTTTATTTAATGCCCAATGGTTGCCATGAAATGTCTTTATTACGTTAAAAGATTTTGTACCTTTGTGTTTTCCAAAACCACAAAGATAGGAATTATTTTATATGGTAAAAAAATATATAAAATAAGTGGTGCCGGATTGGAAATATTTGAATTTTTACATGAAATCAGCACCTCATTACCTTTCGCTACTAGATTTGGTTTCTGAGTTGGTTTACGCCCAATGAAATTTTATGCCGAATGAGATTCGTTCAAATTCCATGTAAGTATTGCATAATTGCGTAATACAATCATTACAATGTTAAAAATCGTGTTGTGGATATCATAGTAGCATGACTGCATTATTATCGAACGCAACAAACGTCGTAGATGCAATTTTGAATAATGAAGTTTGGCAGATATCAGACTCACAGAGATGAGTAGGCTGCACGGAAGCGTGCATAAATTAATTGCATGTACGGCTGTGCGATTTTTCCTAAGTTGCACAGCTTCGCCAATTAAAAGGAAATTCTGACAAAAAATTCACTCACAGTGCAGCGACTTAAAATATTGAGTAAGAGTGGCCGATTAACCTAATGGACCGAGCAAGCCCGCTTTACAGGGCTAGCTAGCCGGGTTAATCAAGACAACTATATGGGCCAGGCTACCCGGTAAACAAACCCATTAAGCCCTATTACTCATGAGATTGAAAATTTTCGGCAGTTTAAGAGTTGATTTTTTACAAAGTCGCGTATTTTTTCGAAAAGCGCTCAAAACTTAGCGACCAGGCCTTCGCGAAAAAATGCTGCGCCGCTATCTTGGTTTTAAAAGTTTCTCAAAATTTGCGAAAAAAACAAACAGAATTTCACTGGATTTTTGGCTGTGTCACGAGGTAAAACATTGTCAAATATAAAGAAAGATAACATGGTAAGTGTAATATCGTACTTAGTAGCTGTTATTTAAATTATTATTATGTAAATATGCACATGTATCGGACTCAGTCGTGAGCATAATTTAAAGCTATTTTGATATTAAACTGATTGAAAGTGACTGCTTTCGTCTTTGGAATGATGGCCTACCTGTTCATAACTCGTTAATATACAGTAGGTACATGCAAAATTTTAAAGCACTATTTTTGAATTTTCAAGGAAGAATTTGAATATTTGTAAATATAATTCATTTACTTCGAATCAGTTTTTTTTGCTCTGTTGCATATGTCCATATTATAAAAAAACATTTCACTGCAAGTGCACATAGCATGCATATCTGTAATTTTAAACTTCATGCTGTTTTGAACATGGTATACCATGCTAGTCATACAATATACTAAAGTAATTGGAAACCACAAATTCATATGGGATGTTGGTGAAAATTGCAATTGGAAATAATAGTTAAAACAACCTACTTTCCCTCATGCATATAACTTGATGTGGTGCGAGGGTGGCTAAACTGGGGCTGGTCATAAAACAGGGCCTGACCTGATGAGGCAGGATGCATTATCACTATGGACCCCAGACAGGCTCAAGCATGGGCACATATACAGGGGGGGGGGGGGTGGTAAGCCCCTAGAAATTAACCCTACCTATTTTGCCACTTGCACCCCACTAGAAATTTTTCCACGCCTCCTTTAAAAAATTAAAAATCCACCCTTGTGCTCAATCAAGTTTTTCGAAACCAAGGTTGCCTATAAGGTCATAAAGATCTTTTTAGTTTGATAATTGCAAAAGATTTGACACTGAAACCACCACCCCCACTCCCCTTCTCCCAAGTAAATCAATCCCGATACCACACAAAAGAATACTTCTTTCCCTCTGAGTTAACAATGAAAGTATATTTTTTACAGATCTCTGGGATATTACTTTTACAACCTTAAAGATATGATTATGAAGACAGATGTCTGTACATTGTAGAGTATTTTGTACATCCTATAAACTTTTTGTAATATCCACCCAATATATAAATTTGCATCATAATTAAATTTGTATCACAATCTGTGATTTAATAAAATTAATATTCATGTTCATCCTGTTTCATTTCTTGTTTTCTTTGATAACCTGCAAGAAAAGATCTTCTTAGAAAATCTGATATTTTTGCAAATTTATTATGATATACTGTGTATATTCATGATCTAATTTATGCCTGGCCTGGTAGAATTCCAATATGACCCATCTATATGTTTATCTTCAATGAAATTAATAAGAAAAATTCACTGAATGAGTTAAATAAAGAGGTTCAGACATGCAGGATTTTATATGAAAGCTGGGTTTGCATGGTTAGCACTACAACTAGCCTAATAGGAGACATCACTGTGTAGCTCTGCACAATACCTTACTTGAAAAACAATAAATCTCGGTTACCAGGACAAGCATTTTCCCATATAAATACATTAACCAGGCTGGCCCGATTGCCAAGCCTTTTTATGAATATGTTGATTTTGATAGTAATTGTGGATATTCGCAGATAGGTTTTAGAAATGGTAAAACCGACCTTGGACCGTGCACTTAGATTTTAAGCAAATTATATTTTTTGCAAACTAACATAC